CCCCCCCCCTCCCTCAGCATGGCGTGCACACCTGCGCGGGGAAGGGCGGGTGCGCGGCGGGCGCGGCTGTATCAGAGGACCCGGCCACCCGCTCCTCGTCCTGGCACAGGTCGGGCACTTCCCAAACCCTCTGACTTTAGACGGTCTTTAAAATGGATCCATTCGCCTCCCCGCCCTCGCCGCGGTTTTTGACATAAGAAAATGAGGCCCAGAGAGGGTAAATGGCTTCCCCGAGTTCCACAGTAAATTCGTGGCAGAGCTGGGTCTCGTATTGAGCCCCCCAACTTAAAGCCCCAAGACCCCTTGCACTCCAGTAATCTCTCCTCGCTATGGTCTAGCTGGAGATAAAAGCCGAACCGTCGGGGAAGGCGCCAACACCCAACGAACGTGAGTTGAGCGCGTGGGTCTCGGCTGTGACTCGCTGCTCGCAGTTTGATGCTCACAGAAGTCTGGGCTATCGATGGTTGCGGGACTCCCTCCTACCTGGGGCTCCCCACCGTCCACCGGCTCCAGGGCCGGGGCACAGCAGGGACCCGGGCACCTTCGCCGGCCTCTCCCCGTCGGGGCGCGCTCTCCACACCGAGCTTACCCAGCGCCTTGAGCAGCTCGTCGAAATTCTCGCTGCTGCGCATCTTCCAGGTGCCGGCGAAGTTGGGCATGGTGGCGGCGGCAGCGGCGGCCGACCGGGTGTGAGCCCAACTCCCCGCCGCCGTGCCCACCCTCTGCCCCTCGGCCTTCCAGCCTCCAGAAACGCAGGCCCGGCACTCACTTCCCAAATGGGGGGTGCCCCTGAAGCCCCCCACCCCGCCACTCACATTGTGCTTTAAAATGGATGCAGGAGAAGAAGGAAGGATGGAGCCAGACAAGCCGGGAGGGGATGGCTGCTGAGCCTGGGCGGTGGGGACTTTATACGGAATCCTACGGTTCTCGTGACTTTTGTGTGCGTTTGGGATATCCGTAATATAAAGTAAGAGCGGGTTGTGTGGCCATCTTCCCACCCCCAGTCGTGCCTTCTGGGCGTGCTGGGCCCGTACCCTCCCTTCTCTGGAAGGATGGAGCCAGACAAGCCGGGAGGGGATGGCTGCTGAGCCTGGGCGGTGGGGACTTTATACGGAATCCTACGGTTCTCGTGACTTTTGTGTGCGTTTGGGATATCCGTAATATAAAGTAAGAGCGGGTTGTGTGGCCATCTTCCCACCCCCAGTCGTGCCTTCTGGGCGTGCTGGGCCCGTACCCTCCCTTCTCTGTCCAGGATCCCTCACCCCATCCCGCCTCTCTACCTCCCAGCACTCACAGGACCAATGGGAACGAGTGGCAGGAAAACCCCGTCCCCGCAACGCCAGCCTAGGCACCCGCGCTGAACCTAGGCGGGGGCAAGATTGCTGGTCCTGGGACCAGAGTGTGGCTGGATTCCCGTGGAGTGGGTCGCGGTTGGAGTCCCCAACCTGGCAGCTTAAAATTCTCGCTAGGTGTGCGTATGTGCATGCCCTAAATCCCAAGAGGAGAATGGAAGAGAAGGGGTTGTAGCCTGGCCATCCCTTTCTTGCTTTCTGTCTGTCTCTCTTTGCCGAGCACACAGGCCCCATAGCAAAAATCTCTCCAAAAAAAAAAAATGGATTCCTGATCATGGGCAATGGTCTCTGCAGGGCAAGGGGGAGCCCAGTCCACAGCCCCTTTGAAAGGTGAGGCTCTGAACTCTGTGGACAGGCCAAGCAGGCTGCCTGGAGGAGGTCTCCTCTCTCCCTTTTCTCTTTGCTGTCAAACGTGTACCATAGCAGGCCAGCAGGTGGTGAGGTGGTGAAAGTGGCTGGATCTCACATGGCCAACAGCAACGATCTGGCCCCAGACCCAGTGGCTTGAAAAACAGGCCAGGCCCCTGGTGGTATTCTAAATCCCAAGAGGAAATGGGGAGAGGAGCTTTCAGGGAGGCCATCCTCCCTGGAGTGTGCTTATTCACCCCTCTTCCTTTTCTCTCTCTTCAAATTAAAAAAAAAGTGTGTCTTACCTCAAGTCCTCCCCGCAAGGCCACCCAGAGAACGCGGACACTGCGTGGCCCCTACAGCTCCTCACAGCAGAGGCCAGCACTTCCTTCCATCCTCTTTCCACTGTTAGGTCACCTGTTCACCTCAGCAGAAAAATCGTATGCGATGCAGGCTTCTAGAACCTGCTGTGCACAGTCTGATTTCTAAGCCTTTGCCCATACTGTGTCCTCTCCTTGGAATTCCTTTTTCCACCTCGGGTTACTAATATTTGCCTATTCATGAGTACATCAAAGCCCATTTTTAAATTTAACTTTATTTTGGAGAGATTTTTGTAATAGGGCATATGTGCTCACTAGAGAGACAGAGAGACAAAGTGAGAAATCACTCCCCCAGGGGAATGGCCACACCGCAATCCCTTCTCCTCCATTCTCCTCTTGAGATTTTGGGCACACATGCACACGCACCTGGCATGAGTTTCAAGCCTCCAGGTTCAGTCAGCCATGTGGGAGTCCAGTGATGCAACCATTATGCCATCTGCTGGACTCCACCAAAGCCCATTTTTATGCCTTTTTTCATGAAATTCAGTTCCTTAATCACATGCAATTAACTTCTCTCTGAGCTCTCAGGACCCGGGTTTGATCCTGCTCTTGGTCAAATCCTGCTCTGAAGCCTGCTGTGGACTTAACTCAGGCAGGGAATGAGTGTGTCGGCCTGTCCTCCCGCACTCAGGCTCAGCCAGGTGGGGCTCAGGAACCAAGCACTGATTTGAGACGGACATCAGTGTTCTGTGGCTCAGAGGTGATGCAGGCGTGACAGATCTCTAAACAGGGGCCTGGACTTCTGGAAGTGGCTGGGCCTACAGGAGGCCCCAAGGAGCTGTCAGAAAGCAGCTGAGGACAGGAGAGGGGAGCGGGGCTATTGCCCCCTGGAAAGGAGCCTGGTTAGGTGTCCTGACCCGCAGGACAGTTGAACAGGTTTCCAGAGGGACGGAGTGAGAGACGGGACTGGACGGGACAAGGGGCGCAGTGTTACAACACAGAGAAGACACAGTTGGAGTGAGAGACGGGACTGGACAGGACAACACAGAGAGGACACAGTGTTACAACTCTTCAGCGTCCTCTATTTATTGTGGGCCAGGGATCGTGGTATACATGTCGGTGGGCGGTGATTGGTTGTTAAAAGGTGGGTTATGATTGGTTGCTTTTGTGGACCAATCATGAGGTACTGGATATGCAAATCTGAGGGATTCTA